GTTGTGTGCAAATCTAGTGTTCCATGTGAGTACCAAGCACATTGAGATAGATTTTCACATTGTCAGCAAACAAATTGCTAATAAATAGCTAGTGACCAGATTTATCTCCTCAAAAGAACAGATTGCCGATGAATTGACAAAGGCATTGCTCATAACAGGTTTAGAGGAATTCAAGTGTAATCTTAACTTGAGAAGCCGTGGTTAAGGGAGGGTGTTGATGTGTGAGATTTCTACGTCATCTCTAGAAGCTTGCTGCTGGATCACATACACTAGTGTAGAATCGGGCTATAGTCCCGGTTCTACAACCGGCACTAAAGGGTGGGGATGCTTTACTAAAATAGTTATCAAGTAGAATATTCTCATAATTTAAACAAAGAACTCTTTAGCATCTTGAATACAAAATACGTACACTATCAATTTTCATAGGACACTATCGCCATCCCTTTTTGATGGTGTTGTTGGTATGACAGAGAAACATATAACTCTGCGGAAAAAAGCCAAAAGTGCAATAGATTTCTAAAATAAGAGTGTATGCTATGAGTTATATCAATCAAGTAGCAATAGGATATTGATCCAAAGATTTTCTTCGACAGATAACAATTGGGAAAATTTTCACATAGGATGGGCATGGGAAGTGTGACCCACCAAGTAGTCAAAACCATTTAATTATCTTAATAAAGTGCTACATCCTTGAAAGTGGTGGAAAAGGTAATAAGCACAACTGATACAGAAGTCTCCATTGTTATGAGCAACTACAGTATTAATGGAAGTTATACTACAGCTTTAGAATCGGTGAAATTAAAAATATATGCCATATTTAGAAGCAGGGTAAACTTGTCCTAGCTTATGCATTGCAGCCATCATTTTGTGTCTAATCATGCTAGATTTATAACAATAACAATAGATGTAGAAGTAAATGTGGAATTTGACTTTATTACGTAATACTCAGAAGACAAACTCAGTGTGATATTTCTGCCTGTTGAGTCTAGTGTCAGCCCACTATAAAATAGGTGCATCCCCATTATAATAGAGGTAAAAAGAATCGGAATTCATATCCTTCTAGGTGTATATATCCCAAAATATGAGATAAAGGTATATAAGGAGAAATATGTTCAATAAAATCAGAGCTGCAGCCATGCTGGAATCCCCTAGACCATCCATAAACGTCTCTACATATAAATTACTAATTTATTTGAAGTGACTTAATGTTTGTGAAATCTGATCCCGGAATTGTACATCAAATTAATCGTGAAATATAACCAACAAAGAAAAAACTGATTTTTTAGAGTAGTGATTGCAAGAAAATTCTTAGTAATTACCTTTTGCACAATGGAACATGACCAAGGATCCCCGGCAAATAGCAAGGTTGCAAAAGAACCCAAAGCGTAGAACTCCGACTATTCCTGAAAAACATCGATAGAGTATACAATTCTTCTAACTTTTGGACTCCAATACAATACTTGAACAAATTCTGCAAGTAAAGCAAAGCGACACCTGAAAATATGACAACAAAACCATCTAACTAAGTTCATGTTTACTTCTCTGACATGCTGGCTGCTGAAGCTTGACACGTCCATGCATACCTTTCACGGCGTTGCACTTGCCTGGTGCCACGATGATGGCTTCCTTGTCGGGGGCCAGAAGGAGGATCATCGGTAAGTGGGCTTCGTGTTGACATAGAGGATGTGGAATGTATGTGTTGGGGGAAGAGGTCTTCAGCCAGCTCATCGGTTTGTGATTTTTTTCTCCGGTTGCAACTAACGGGTATGTTTACTAGTAATATCGGCCAGTACTAGGCGCCGGCACGCCAGCCCAATGTTTTGGCCGGTCGGCCCCCAGTCGTTCGATCTGATAAGTTGTAGCTAGTCGCCAAATCATCTCCTTCCTCTCACTTCGGTCAACGCGAACATAAATCCCCTTCTTCCTGTTCCCCGCTACCACGTCTGTCCTCGCCCCCCCTCCCCCCACCCACCCCCACGCGTGTGCGCTCCGGCGAGGGGAGGCAGCACACCCCGTCCCCTTGAGCCGCTGCTCGTTGCAGCACCACCGTCGTAGCCGCTGCTCTGCTGAAGGCCTGAAGCACGCCGTCGCCGCATGTCGCGTCTGTAGCTCGAGAACCAGGCCATTGCAGCTCTACAATTTTATTTTTGGAATTAGCATTCCGATACGCCGCACGCCGTCGCCACATTGTGCTCCTCAAGCACGCACAATTCCTCGCGTCCTACACTTCGTCTCCAACCCTCCCATCTGACATATGCAGCTTTTTGAAGAAGACGAAGAGAGAATAGTAGTTCGTGTTTTTTTACCTGAATCAGTACCTCTGCCTACCGGATCAACTTCACCGGAAAGAGGTCAGGGGTAAGATTTGTTTTGCACACTATTGAAGAGTGTCATGAAATTAGACACGCACTGTCCAGAGTTTGTAGCAGCTTAGATTAGCAAACCAGTTTTATTCTGTAGCAAACTGATTTCCTCCCTTGCATGTTATGAGCAGTATACTCTGTAGAAAACTGATTTTCTTCTTCTTGCATGTTGTTCAGGAGGCTATTTGTCATTCATGATAAAAACACGACCAAATATCATGCGAAGGTATGCCTCCTCCTTGCGTAGCTGCTACTGAAAAAACCAAGTAATAATTTTAAAACTCTCCACATAAATCAGTCGGTTCAGATTCAACATGAAATTCAAATGGTGTTCTTTTACGCAGGTACTCTTTAGCTAAAGGGGGGTCACTGACTTTACAGGTGATGAAACCGCCAACAAAGAGAGGTATGAACAAATAACAATACTCTTATTTGCCATGGAATTCCTTTAGTGCCGGTTGGAGACAGGAACCAGTACTAAAGGTTAAATTTGGCCAGGCGAAGCGGCGGAAAGCGACCCCCTTTAGTACCGGTTTGTGGCTCCACCAGGTACTAAACACCCACCCTTTATTACCGGTTGGTGCCACGAACCGGTACTAAAGGGGTGCGCTCCCGTTCCGCGCTGCTCATTGTTTAGTGCGACCTCACCGAGCGAAGGGCAGCCACACTGGTTTATAAACCCAGCCGCGGCTGCTCCTTCGAGCTCATCTATGATGCAGGCCTCTGGGCCTAACTTTGCCGCGCTGCCCTATGAGCCTGCTGGGCCTTATGGGCCTGCATATGCATGCCCAAGGCCGGGCAGGCCCACTGGACAGCACGGAAATATTTTTTCCATATAGTTTTTTGTAGTTTATATATTTTTTTCTATTTATTTGTGAGTAGTTTTTTGCTGTATGTAGAGTTTCTTATATTTAATATTTGTGTGTTTTATCATTATATTCATATTTGTAGTGATTTTTGAGTTCATTTTGTAGTGGTTTTCACTTTTACGGTGATTTAGCTCTGAAAACAAATCAGCAAATGCATCGAAAATAGTAAATTATCTCGAAAAAGGGCTGAAAGTTGATGACGTGGATTTGAATTGTGCATCTAAACGCAAAAAAGTCCGGAGTTGTAATAAGTTATTAAAATTGTGTAAACATGTAAAAATATACATAAAAATACATTGATCAGTACCGCCTTTCAGCCAAAATGCACTACTCCTATGGAGAAATACATCAAAAATATATTGATCATCAATGATCCTTTTGTGTACAAGCTAAATTGTCAGTATGAGTCCTCACCGGTTTAGAAACCGGAGAATACTCATATTGTGACCACAAATTCTACACATAGAGTTCAATGAAGACCAAGTGGTTGTGATAGTTTGAGAAGTAACATATTTAAGGTGGTAAAAACTCTGTTAGCGGAGCGAGGTCGGACTAAAAAACCGCTGCAGAATGAATCAACTAGAAACCTCTAGTACCGATTTGTGGCACAAACCGGTACTAAAGGAAATCACTAAATGCCAAGATTCATATCACACATGTGCTGTCAAAGCATCAAAAGCAGTGAATCAATCTTTGATTGGATCTCGGATGGTTAGGAGGACAGTGAGTTCCTAGCCCACCAGGGTTCAAGCCTTAGACTTGACACCAGTGCTCGCTCCTTCCTGGATTTATTCTAGTCTTTTCAGCAATGCTCATTCAGTGGGTTGATACATTCCCGTCGACTATGGAGACGTATTTGGTGACTTTGTCAATATCACGATGATATGCCGACTCTGTCTCTCAGATATACTTATAGGGGTAGTGTGTGTGTGCGCGCACATTCATAGAGACGTGTAACTCCTGTTTGTTGGCAAGTGTTTAATTATGGGAGCATCGAGCTCCTGGACACTAGACATTCGATGTGCCTGTAATAATACAGGTTGTGTATGTTGCTTCAGTCTGTGCTTGTTTGTTACCAGACCATTTCGTTGGCAATAGTATCAGCCGTTGGAAATTCGCGTACTCTTTAACAGAGATACCGGTTTACTAGCAATAAAAGTTTGCGTACGTCACATTGCTTAGTTGCTTGAAAGTCAACAAGTCATGTTCATGTGATTTTGAGGCGATCGATCCGTGTGAGAACTCCCAACACTTGTATTATAGCAAGGTTCAAGATTGTCTGGTGAGTGTTGTGGTTGCGCGGAGCGGCGATCAAGATCATGGGCTGAGGCAAAACATCTTCTTGTGTGTGTGTTGTTTTCCAAGAGTCGTTCCGATCTCGTCCCGCTAGCAGCGAATAGTACTTTGGACGTCTTGAAGCGGAAAAAAACGTCAGCAAGTTGCGTGTTGACAAATGAGACATCACATTTAGTGGACATCGACCTGCGAACTGCACCATGTTCGTGTCCAGCCATTGATTGGAATTCCCAGCAAGTATTAAAGTCTGCTTCCCAACTGCAACTGGGTACTCCTGCTAATTGAATTATCCATTTTATTTCATGCAGCTACCAAATATAGCTCCCAAAATTATCATCACAGCGACTTCACAATTACCATTAATACACTAAACTTGTGATAGTTTCGGCACGAACATTGGAGAGTAGGCTGGCAACCATAGACAAGAGCAATAGTACTGACGACTGCATATATATTTTAGCATACAGCGTAATTAGCAGTTGATCTTTTTCAGCCCATGTGCGAAGTAGAGGAAAGTTGGGTCAGCAGCTCCGTCCTTGTAGTAGGCGAACACCAGGCTGCCATCATCATGCATGCTCTCGCCCACAAAGCTGAAACAGGTCAAGAGGAGCAGCTTTAGAACTTGCATAAATTGAAGGGATATATTACTTCCCAAAAACTGTAATCGCTATAATTTTTTCCCTAAGTATTATGTTTTATATAATAATTTGCCAGAATCTGGAATACCAAAGGAAGAATGAAGTACAAACACTTTTGGGGCAAGGCAAGTAGAGAACTTACAACTGAAAATCCGCGAGCTTGCTAAGAAGAAACTTTGTGGCAGACTCAATGTTGTTCTTGAAACATTCTTGTTCCTCATCTTCAAGCTTGGCACTGAGGTTCTTGATGTAGCGCTTCATGTAAGTGCAAAACTCCTTCCTCTCAAAAGCTGGTAGCTCCTGCAGAAGGTAATGAGCGGTTAGCACAATGATCAAGTGCATACTGTATATATGGATAATGGGCCAAGAACATCAAAGCGGAAAGCAAACTGAAGACGGAAGGTGTCAACAATGTCAATCACCTTCACGGCCTCTTCATCGACACCCTCCTGATCACCACCCTCATGATCACCACCCTCATTACAGGGATTGGCACCAATGTCCACATCAACTGCACCTTGAACGACCCACTACAAGCATTCAAAACCATATAAATAAATAATTAAACTAAAACATCTGCACGATGTTTTTCAGATATGAACAATTAAAAATTAGTGTATGCACAATTACTTTTAGATGTTGGTTGTAGTTGTTTACACCGGCATGGCCACCGGATCATCCAGTGATGATAGATATTAATTGTAGGCTACTTTCATGTAGGCAAATAATATTCTTTTTGCTTGTTGAGACAAAACATAACAATCAACCAACCAAGAACCCTACTAGCAAATACAAATATGTGTAGTTTTAACGCCAGAAGTGTCGGCGCTGCGTATTATATATAACAAGGGCTATAGCACACCATGAGAGCAGATACAAGGCTGGTAACTGGATGACTACTATGATATAGTCAATCTATCCTATGAAAAGACGAGCGATCATGTATTTTGAAAAACTCGACGAAGTCTAATTAGCTAACTGGCATGTGATGTACCAGTGCACGCTAATCTAGCAAGGCACAGCACACACAACAACTGGAGAGTAGAACACTTACTTGTCCATCTACTTCCCAGAGCACGCCGTTCTCCAACTCCCTGTACAAGAATGAATCCGACAGGAGCTCGTTGCCTGCGACGCACAAACATAGGAGGTTCAGTCAAATCCATCGCTCAACCGCAATTCCTAACCCAAAACCGCAGGGAGCCCTACCGATTATTGAGTGAATTCCTAATTTCCTATTACTAAGCAACAGAGTAACTAACGAAGAATAACAAACCGCCCTTTTTTTTTAAAAAAGAATAAGAATAGCCAACAAATTCAAGAAACTGATCAGATGTAGCTCAATTTCCTCGATTAAAGGGCGCGAAAATTGGAGGGAAAATACGCATGGATGAAGGGACGAACCGGAAAGCCTGTCCTGGTAAACGATCATCGTGCTGCCTCCCAGGGTAAAATCTGAGGAGAGGGGAGTAGAGGCAGATGGCGGGAGGGGATATAAGGCCTTCTCGTATTTATAGCTGCCCCCGGATGTCTCAGCTCCTTTTCTAGCCGTTCGATATGTTCCAGATGTTTGATCTAGACATTGAGGAGTGTAGAAAAGTGTTTGGTTTGCTACGGGTCATCTAATCATTATATCATGGGCGAATATTCGGGTACCAATGGCTCAGGCGCGTCTGCGGCCCATAACTAGGAGGCGTTGGCGGCACGGAACCGCTAGGTCTTCTGCCTCATTCATGCGCTAGTGTTCGCTATGAATTTATTATTATTATTATTATTATTGGACTAAGGGTGTCATTAGTATGAAGCACAATTACAATTCGATTAGGCTAGTCATAGCATTTTACTAGTCTACGTTATGACCTTACTGACCTTACTGGGGTAATGCATAGGTGTGATAACATAGAGAGCTTCATTTATTACTTTGTAGACTCATTCATTTGAAACCACTATGTGGAGTATTATGCTACTCCCTCCATTCCTAAATATAAGTCTTTGTTGAGATTTCACTATGGAATTTATGCGGAGCTAAATGAGTGAACCTAAAATGCATCTATATATATCCGTGTGTGGTTCATAGTGAAATCTCTACAAAGACTTGCATTTAGGAATCGAGGGAGCACTCAATTTGCATTTCTGCTCATTAATTACATGGCACATCATTTTTTTTCTTACTCTCCCTGTGAACAGCCTTAGCAATAGTATTTGTACGGGACATTCATTTAGTTGTGGGCCTGCTTCTATTAACAAGTGGGTCGTCATAGTTAGTGGACATTGACATGTGAACGGCACCGTGTATGTGTCCAACCATTGATTAGAATTACCAGCCAACATTAAAGCCGGCCATTTATCAAGCAGCTGCCCCACCCTAAGCTTTTTGTTGCAGAAAATGTTTATTTTTTGATCGTTTGGACTTGTTGGCTGTGTGCATCCTGTTTTGCAGAGATCGGGCATTCTTTAGATGCTGTTGTATCACATTGATAAATCAATTCAATGAAATGTACTCTATGGAAAAAATTAAATTCAGTGTCCCAACTATAACTAGATACTCCTACTAGTTGAACAAATCATTTAATTTCACGCATATACGGACGGCAACATGTTTATTGGGTTGACCTAAAGATAGTCATAGTGGGGAGTAACATAGACTACTCATGTTACTAACTTTTGTAGTGTGAAGTGTCATAGATGTAGTAATATAGACGGGATCAATAGGTTGAAATCTCTGCGCACTCTAGTAGAAGTATGTTTGGACGAAAGTGATGCAAGCTCGGCAGAGAATATCATTGACCTTGGCAAGCTAGACCAACTTGAAAGAACTTGATATCTCGTTGACGGGGTATTGTCAATTAATGGAAGAGCAAATTATGCGTGCGGATGACTTGCACACTTCCATATCCATGTTTGCCTGTAGACACGAAATTCTTACTTTTGAATCGAGATTTGGTATCATAGATACTAGATGCTCGAGGCCAGAGCATTTCACTATTCCTTGGAGATTGTTGGATTCGGGAGCTCAATCTTTTAGGCAGAAGTTTTGAAAGTGGCCTCGAGTGCACAGGTCAACTCCACAAACTCTGCAAGTGTCCCAGGCAAAAAAAAAAAAAACCTCTGCAAGTGTCATATTAGAGTTGGCTGATAGTGTCAGTATTGTTTTGGGGTTGCGTTCTCTTGCCACTATGATGATTTTCCATTCAGGTCAAGTGAAGGCAAGTGAAGAATGTGTAATTGTCACTGGCACTGGCATCGGGGCACTAAAAGAGATGATTTTCCATGCCCAAATGCATCACCTTTGAAGCCAGAGAAGCTTAGGTTGCGGCCTGTTTGGGTACCGCATGGCTCACCAATTCCTACCGGTTGGCATCCATCATTTGTTAGCTCCCACCCTTACATATATCACGATATTTGTGGCCTCCAATTATAGGGCACTAGCACTGGCCCCGCCTCTGCACAGTAGCCCTCCAGCGACAACCTACTCATCGCCGGAAATAGCGGAGACCATGGCGAACTTTGCAGCTCTTGTCAACAATGATCTCTTCGTTCAGCTGGGTTAAACTGGAGGCAGCTTATTGCAGTAGCACAGAATCTCAACCATAATTTCCCTCCAGGCTAACACAAGCCAATTTTTTCAGTTGATTGTGGTGTAGCCCTGCTTGTGGTCGGACAGAGCCAACCCATGGCAAACTTTCTGTTGATATCAACAATGATCCCTTTGTTCAGCAGGGTAACAATGGCATGCTGGTTAATGCAGTGACATAGGATCCAACTGACGGTTTTTGTCCGGGTGGACTCCTTGATCTCAATCAGGCCTCTCTTAGAATTAGAGATAAACATCTATTGTAATCTCAACGGTCTCTTCTTTGTATCCCTCTCGTATCTATCTCCTCTCCTAGCGACAGCCTGAATCCTAGCGATCGGGTTGCAAGTCTTGTACGCCACGGCTGAGGCTATTCCTGCCTCACATAAATATATACCACGCGGCTCCTCATCGAGGAGTAGGAACGCTTCAATCTTACATGGTATACAGAGCCAATTCTCTTCCCAATCTAGCTACGAGAACTCATCTCCATCGCCATGTCGTCTTCCTCACCAGCCGTCCTCAACCTCGGATCTCCACCAGCCGAGAAGCTCACCAAGGGGAATTACCTCTTGTGGAAGGCCCAGGTTATGCCCGGCCTGCGAGGAGCCCAGGTCACGGGGCTCCTGGATGGAACCGACGCCGCACCCCCTCCAATGGTGGAGCAGCAGCAGTCGGACAAGACCACAACAATGGTGCAAAATCCACTATACACACCATGGCTGTCGAAGGATCAACAAGTTCTTGGTTTCTTGCTGAACTCCCTCTCCAAAGAACTCCTCGCCCAATTTGTTGGTAAGGAACACACTTATGATTTATGCACTGGCATCACTACCCTCTTTGCATCGCAATCTCAATCCAGGATTACAAACCTGAGAATCGCCATGACCACAACGAAGAAGGGCAACATGTCAAGTACCTCCTTTATCTCCAAGATGAAGAGTCTTGGGGATGAGCTTGCGGCTGCAGGACGCCCCGTCTCAGATCCTGAGATGGTTGATTACGTCCTCGCTGGACTGGATCAGGACTACGATCCAGTTGTGGCGGCCATCGGCGCTGTCAAGTCTGTCATCATTGTCGACGAGCTGTTTGCTCAGATTGCTGCCTTCGACCAGCGCCTGGAGATGCTCGGTGATGGTGGTGAAGGCGGCTTCCACACATCCGCCAATCTGGCCTACCGTGGAAGCGGCCAGTACAAGCCTCGGGGGCGTGCACGCGGCACCAGAGGCTGTGGACGAGGGAGACGATCTCCTTTTGCTCCAAGTGGCGGCAATAGAGGAGCACGCGGGAGTCGTCCACAACCCCAACAGCAGCAACGCCAACCGCATCGGGACTATCCCGAGTGCCAAATATGCCTCAAGCATCATCGTGGGGGCGCCCGCGACTGTTGGGATCGCTATGAAGACGACGAGTACGAGGAGAAGGAGGCCAATGCTGTCGCCGACTCCTACGGCATCGACACAAACTGGTACGCGAATACCGGAGCTACAAATCACATCACGGGAGAGCTCGACAAGCTAACGATCAGAGACAAATACCGTGGGGGAGACCAAGTACACACTGCGAGTGGTTCTGGTATGGATAGTTCAATTGTCAAAACCCCCATGAAAAATTTGCATCTAAAACGAGTCTTATACGTGCCTGAAACATCAAAGAATCTTCTTTCTGTTCATCGTTTTACCCGTGATAATCATGTTCTCATCGAATTCTATCCCTATTTCTTTTTGGTAAAGGATTTGGACACGAGGAGGGTACTTCTTAGGGGCAAGTGTGTGGGTGGCCTCTACCCACTCATATCTTCATCATCATCATCATCAAATAAACAAACTTTTGTTGCTGTCAAGCCTTCTTCAGCAAAGTCGCACAGCAGATTAGGTCATCCCTCGTCAGTTATTGTTAAGTTTGTTCTTAGTAAAAATAAACTTCCCCATAGTCATGAGTCTAGCATTGAGTCTGTGTGTGATCCATGTCATCAAGCTAAAAGTCATCAACTACCATACCCTATATCTACCAGTATTTCCACTGCACCCTTACAGCTTGTATTCTCAGATGTTTGGGGGCCAGCCCCTAGTTCTGTTGGTAGACATTCATACTATGTAAGCTTCATTGATGATTATAGCAAATTTACTTGGATCTATCTTCTCAAGAAACGATCTGAAGTGTTTCAAGTTTTCAAGAACTTCCAAAACCTTGTTGAACGAAAACTTAACACTAAGATCATTGCCATGCAAACCGACTGAGGTGGTGAATACAAGAAACTGAACCTCTTTTTTCAGCAACTTGGTATTTCACACCATGTTTCATGTCCTCGTGCACACCAACAGAATGGTTCTGCCGAGAGAAAACATCACCATGTTGTTGAAGTAGCATTAGCTCTACTAGCAAATGCATCCATGCCACTCAAATTCTGGGATGAAGCATTCTTGACTGCCACATATCTCATAAATTTGCTTCCCAGCAAAGCCATTGATTTTGAAACTCTCATCACACGTCTTTTTGGCACTACTCCTGATTATAAATCGCTTCATGTTTTTGGTTGTGCTTGCTGGCCCAACCTTCGTCCAAACCATACACGCAAACTTGCTTTTCGTTCCAAGAAATGCATTTTTCTTGGTTATAGTCCCATTCATAAAGGAGTCAAGTGTCTGGATGTGTCCACAGGGAGGGTTTATATATCTCGAGATGTTGTATTCGATGAGTCAGTATATCCTTTTGAATCTTTGCATCCAAATGCCAGAGCTCTCCTTAGGAAAGAAATTCTCCTCCTTCCATCAAATCTCCAAAATCTTGATCATGGGGGCGATGATTGTACTAACTCAACTGATAATCCTACTAGTACTCGTACTGTGCTTCCTCAT